TTCTCTCCTCACACTAAAATCTTCAAAAAAAAAAAAAAAAAAATAATAAATAAAAAAGGGGACAATGTAATGAGACAAAACGGTGTGGCCATTAACGTGGCGCACTCTCGTTGTGATCATTACCTACGGTCAAACATCGCCCGCCGCGTAGAAACATCGACCGCCCAACCACAACCGCAAACCACAGATAGCGCTCCGCCGCGCAATGATTAAACAACGCATGCCGCCCACGGAAAACCTGAGTTTTCCGTGGGAACCAATAGAGCTATTAAAACGTTACGAACATATTCAAAATCAGCGTTATTTTCACCATAATCTGGTAATCTCCAAACACTCTGAACAATAACCTGCAGTTTCGAATCACGCAAGGTGTCAGATAATATTCGAGACGGGACCAGCGAGCCTCGAATGGCATAAATACAGGCCGCTGGTCGCCGTACACACACAGTTCTCCAGCTGAGAGAAGCGAGAATAGCAAGCCGGACGGTATTTATTACCGCCGAGAACGGATGCTAATTTCGAAACTCTAATACAGCAATTCCTGCCCACTAGACTCAATGAGCCGGACGGTCTTTTTTGACCGCCGATAACGGACATTGTACAGTCTTTCCCGGCACTCCCTACGCTACCGACCATCACGTGTCGAGAACGCCGAGCCGTCGCCGCCGTCGTCCGATCAGTTGTTCGTCACCGCCCGTCCGAGAAGGTCAACCGACTCCTGTGCCACCGTCCGACCACTGTGCTGTACCCGTAACTCGTCGCCACCGTCGATTTGAGAACGCCGAGCCGAAGCTGCCGCCGTCCAAACCACGTGTCTGCCGACCTGTTTGAAGTTGTGAACGCTGAGCCGTAGCTGCCGCCGTCCAACCATATACTCACCGTCTGTCGAGAACGTCGAGCCATAGCCGCCGCTGTCCGATCATTGACCTACCTCTTGCCGGGAGAGTTGAATTTGTCCTGCACACCACCAGTCGAAAAAACCAACAGACCGCCACGCAGAGCTGAGTCACTGTTGGTTACCGAAAGTCGAGCCGTTCACGCCGGTAATAATCAATTATTACCGTGCCGCCGTGATCGCGCCACTGTACGTGGATGCTCATTGCCACCATCGTCCCGCCACATACCATTCCACAAACCGTGAGTTAAATGTTCATGCTGTTCCCCCCCAATATTTTATGTAAATCCCGTAATTAAAATATTTTTTATGTACACTCGCAAGAGTATAATATATAATAATTCAAAAGAAATACTGTATTACACATCACCAAATTGTATCTGTATAACGAATTATTACGTATGTGAAATAAACGTGAAATAATAAATTGAATAAATACCAACACGTTATTTTCCTTACAGCGTAGTGCGACGATACCGTATATACAGCGTGTAGATAATAATATCGAGCGAGTGACCATAAGTGACTACGAGTATATAAATAACATTTATTAAGCCCGTGTAGAAATTGTGCTGTTATATCAAATAACACCACAAATGTACAATAACAATAAATATGTATTAGATATCCGGCGTGTGCAAAAGAGTGGGACAATTCCACGCTAGGTCAAGACGACCAAAGTATAGAAGGGACACTGACTGAACCATCGAGGAAAGCTGATGGACCAGCGTTCATCAGACGAGCAACCGGCCTGCAACAGAACAGTCACTCTAAAGCTAAATACTTATTCACAACTCGCTAACTTACCTACAGTTTAAATTATTTGGACTTGGAATATTTTTACATAATTATTATATTTGAATACAAATAAATACTAATTATACAATCATCTTCGTAGTTTATTTCAAAATACTTCCATCACTTCAACTGTACTGGCAGTCTACAGCTAACGTAGAACACACCCATCAGCTAAACCATATAAACCATTTTCAATTACCGTCCTGCAGACCAGTCGATATGCGTTTGCATAAGTCTTGCAAACGTCATAATAACCCTATATTTGACGAAAAACGATTTAAACTTGTAAACGTTATTATAAATTATGATAATTTGAAGCGTAAATAAAAAATAATTAAATACCTACCACAAAACAAAACATATCTTAACAATTGAAAAAAAAAATTAAATATCATTAATGCAAATCGAGGTAATCGTTGTGACGTATTGTTGTTTCGTACGTTTGAGTGAAAAATAAACTTTTTTTGATAACCACAATATTACTTGTGTGTGCGAGTGCCCTCCGTACCGCTACGATAATCCCGCGTGGACGCCACACACACTATCGTAATGATTGTGAAAATTTTTTCAAGCCATAGATATCCATAATATTGTGGCACACAGAGCTTAAAATTGTCTCCAACATACTAATGTAAATGCACAAGTGGCGGAAAATTAGTTCCAAAAACATATTATTGTACCTATGCCAGAAGGTACACGTAAAACGCTGTAATGCTTATAATTACAAATTTTGTATGTATTATAATATATTATAACAATGTAATATAAATTATATTTATAAATAATTATAGTCTGCTATCTATTGGGGGTAGAGATGGGAATTTTAGCGTTACATTTTTTTTTTGGTAAATTTACATTAATTTTTTAATACCGAATAATAGTTTTATTTAGTAAATTTAATACGAACTCAATAACGTTTTTATAACTAAGCTCAACCATTTAACCAATGTACCACCCGTCCACCACTTACTTCTAGTATTATATTTATATAATATACTATAAGTATGTATTGTCGCACAAACGGGGGTACCAGGAGCACCTAAACTTATTAGTTATATTGGGCTAAAAATATTGTTTAAGTAAATCAGAGATGATTGTGTTAAAAAAATGTCTTAGTAATAATCATTTGCTGGATGATCTCATGTGCATGATATAAATATCAGTAGGTATATTACTAATTATATTTATATTATGCATTGTGGAGATATATATGTCATTATAGTTTTGTTGTGCATATGATAACAATTGAAATGAGCGGTCACTCGAATTTTAAAACGGTCAAGAATATTTACCAGGTAAAAAAATTATCGGAAAATTTACCTTACCGGTGAAATTCACAAGGTAAATTTACCGAGCTCTCATCTCTAACTTGGAGATTGATAATAGTCATGTACAAATGAATGATTTTGTACACTAGAATATTATATTATAAATACTTGAAATTTTGAAACTGTTTTGAGAGTGTTTTGCGCTTATTCTGAGCGTAACGAGAAACAGTTTTTAGTACAAAATCATTCATTCTACCTATATTTAATTTATTTTTGTACAGTGTAATAAAATATTTAATTTATATCTTCTTTCAAGTTGTACATGACTATTGGTATTCCCCAATAGATGGCAGACTATCAGAAATAAAGTGATGACAATATTTAAAATAAAATATTCCACACATTATATATTTTATATTCACAAATAAAAATAGGTACCCTTAAAATTAGTGCTACTCAATATTTTTACAAATGTTATTTATGCAGTTATAAAACATTCAATATTTGTAATTAATATTACAAAGTGTACCTTCTGGAGTACAATATGTTTTTCGAACTAATTTTCCGCCGCCTGTGCACTGACAGTAGTATGTTGGAGACAATTTTAAGCACTGTGGGCCACAATGTGTATATCTATTTGGTGTTGTTTGCCGTATGCCTTGTAAGAATTTTCATAATCATTACGATTGTCATAATAAAGATTTGCCATATATGAGGTTCTCATAATTGTCATAAATACCGTGAAAATGATAAAAGCGTTCATAATTACTGAATACTTCTTCTGAAAATGAAATGAAACAAGTTTAGAAATCGTTACTACTATTATCACTATTTGAAATTTGAATACAATTAAATTTTAAATGTTATTTTCACGATTAAGGAGCCTCGCTATGGCATTGACTTAAGGAGAATCATTTAGGTAATTTCCAATCTCGTCGTCGCCACCCGAGATCTATGTGTTAGTCGTAATGATTATTAACGATTACCTAATTTAATAAATATTTAATTTTTCTAGCTTCAAATTGAATGTCTAAAAATGTAATTATATCTATTTGTTTATTTATTTATTTCATCTAATGGGTACATTATATTATATAATATGATGTATTAACAAATGATTAAATAATGTTATGTAATATTTATTGAATAATTATACTTAAAGATTACTTTGACTTAGTCTTTACAGCTAATACTGTATTAATTATATATATTATATTAGGGACTGTTATATTATGCATGAATATTTTATATATATTTATAACTTATTGTTTGATTAAAATAAAATAGATAACATTCTTTTAATAAAATAGATTTTTATGAATTAATTTAGCATGCGGACTATTACCCCATTAGGTGAGAACTTTTACCCCAATAATGGGGTAAAAAGACGCATTTGTTAAAATTTCTAATTACTTAGAATTTTTGGTATTTGCTTTGGTACAAACAACTTTTGACCGGAAAATTTAAATCTACATAATATTTTTGATAGGAAAACAATATAACAATATTTCTAAAAAGTGTATACTACCACTAGCTGTTAAATGTTAGGTGCTCCATTATACCCCAGGTTACTCTATACTGATACACAGTAACACCTTTCCACCATAAAAATTGTCTAATTCCGTTATAACCATAAACATAGATTTACTTTTTCAAACATGGCGCTGTTTCTTTTGAACGCAAGGTACTCGTTACAAATCCATTTGGAAGCAATTTTGGACTCCAAGATTTTCACGTCTTCTTCGCCATCACCGTTATTACTGTAGTGGGGCCCATGCGTTGCGAAAATCTCACTGTTGTTCAGATTCCCTCAGAGATGGTTGGTATACACCACTTATACTTCAATATTTCTGCTTTTGTTAAATAATTTAGTACCCTAGACACAACGTAATCAGTATTATTTTCTTCAAACCAGTACATAGTGGTAAAATGTTAGTGGGGTAAAAATAATTTCGCTTTACATTATTTATCATATCGAAGTCCTCGCGCCATATTATAGAACTTCCGCAAATGCATCTTTCCATTGCTTTGCAATATTTTCATATTCCTCTGCCCTGACGGTGACATGAATATCCTAGGACCAGCTGGTAGAAATTTCTCAATATATTTGCATTCCAATACACTAATGAGTTTAGATCTACCGGGACGATTGACGTAGTTTTTAAATTTAAGCGGTTTCCTGAAATCATGCAATGACATCAGTTAATGTATGTAACTTTTTTGACCACATCATAACCTAAGGCAATACTTATTATCCGATAAAGTTAAACTTTATCTCACTCCCCTTACCCATATTATTGTGATAAACATGTATCTATAATATATTTTCATATTTAATGCATCGTTCGTTTACCATTGAGTTAAAATATTACATTTTTAATGTACAAATTAGAAAAAAAAATTTAAATAATAGATAACAAAATTAAATAATTTTCCAACCAATATGAAGATTATGAATATCATAAATTACCTTGATCGGAAATGAAGTACCTAATTATATTTTATTCAATGAGACGTAATATACTATATTTATCAAACTCAGGACCAAGTTTTATTTATGGGTATGCCAGATTAAAATAAAATAAAACTAATAATATGCTTCATATTAATCGTTGTGGACGTGTTTCTAGAAAAAATATAAAAATAAAACGTATAAAAACTGAGTATAATTAACTTGATGATACGTACTATAGGTACAAGGTAAAGCGTATTATCGTTACGAAAGTGGATTGTTCGGTACTTTGGTCTACATGACACATGAAGCACGTGCAGTATAAATGTTTTAGATAAATTTACTCTATAGGATAATCTTTTAGGGCTCGTATAATACGAGGCATAGCCGCAAGGAGTAGTTACATAGAATTTAGGGCCATTAATTGACAAATTCACAATTCACTGAACTCTCCCCCCAATAATTTGAGAAGGGGTCAGCTAAAATAGTATAATTATTATTACTGATACCTACAAGTTATGTACCTAGTTCTACTATTAGCTGATATATATTTTATAATTTTCCATTATTTTTCCGATTTTTATTACTATACAATTTTTTAATAATTTTTTCCATGTGTAAATTTTAATTTTAATCCTTCCGAGTAATATGTGTGTGTGTGTAATGATTACAAGAACACTACTAATTAATATTACGAATACGTAGTACATATTAGATACATATTAATATTATGTAATCGAAATCGAATTATATGTTGTGTAATATATTATTGCATATTATATTGAAATTTAGATTATATATGACATATTATTATATTACATATTTACATCAATATATGTAAAATAATTATATATTTCGTCGTTACAAATATATATAATAAATATAAAAACTAGTAAGTTATTTACCTTCATTCGTTCCATTGAGGATGAAAAAACGATTCGAAAAGTCCCACCCAGATACCTCCGCCGCTTTGATCTCAGAATAAAAGTTTTCTTTTTCACTTTCAGTTGTAAGGGGTTGTGTTTTGGTGATGTTTATACCTGTAATAATACAAAAAATATTTTGAAATTATAAAAATTTGATATGTAGATGTTGTTTACTAATAAACCCAAGTATATATGTATGATTCTTAGGCAAAAGGGAGTATTAAAACCGAATAAATTATTAATTTAATATTTCCTTAATATCTGTTATTTTCATAATTAATAGGTAGATAATGAAGTATTTTAAAATTAAAATAATACAAATTTTTATTAATTTATCTGTATTTTTAAATACTTACGAAAAATGTTTACGTTTGTGATTTACAACATTTGGTATCTTACCATGGATATGTGAATTGCCATTTGTATACCAAATGAACTCAGTAAACGGAATTAAAATATAACAACAATATAATTTAAGATTTATTTTACCTGTCACACGCGGCAGAAGTTGAAACATTTTCCAAAGAGCTTCAAGTTCCAGAAGTTTAAAAGACGAGGAATGACGAGGAATATTATAAAATATTTTATGTTCATCATCTTGCATCTGCAGTGTGTAGCTTTTTTCCGTTGGCTTAATGTGTTGACAAATGACCGTGAAACCGACAGCTATCTACAACGTCGTGCGAAGCTTTGTATGAAACTACATTGATAGGTACCCCACTATTTGTGTAATTTGAGAAATTTAGTGGAACAATTTTATTTCTTGTCATTCTAACCAAAGATTAGATTTACTATAGTTAGCTGTAGTTTAACATCATTTCTGAGCTAAATTTTTTAATATTATATTATACCTACAATGTAGGTCCTACATATTTGATAATAGGTACCGTGTATAAAAAAACAATGATGAAATTGTATGTGGTATCTCCGTATATATATTATATATACAGAGTAATCCATTTAACGTAAGACACTTTATAGTTTAACATTTTTACTTTTCGTATAATAAGTTTTTGACCGAACATACTTATCAACATTTTTTTCGTATGATTGTAAATCTATTCAAATTCTTATTTCCTGAATATGTTTTCAAATACTTACGATTGTATACTATTTATAAAAAGTATCTTATGGCAATAAAAGTTCCTTTTTTTACAAACGAAAAGCAAAATTGTACTTTAAATGACTGTGAAGCAGATAATTAAAAAAAAAATACGTATGAATTTAATTTAAAATATATAAGTAGACACTAGATCAGCGGCGGCTCGTGTATATGTGCACAAGTGCATGTGCAATACCTACCCAAGCTCAAGAAAAATTTAAAACATAAATCATCAAAAATACAACTAATTACTTAGTGTTATTAAGATTATTTTTAATAATAAAAAACATAAATTCAGAAAATTATGAAAATAATATACTATTTGGATTGGGTTATTACGATGGCCAAACAGCAGCGCGGTTCTCCGAGCCGGTAATTACGGTATCTGTATGTATTATAGTGGCGCAGTATAGTGCACACAATCACTGTGCACATTTGAGGCGATGAGCTCACAAGTGGCCTATTTGACTCAACCATCATTCCGAGTAAATTAGCTGTAATGGCTTTACTAATTTTGTATCACTGAGAACAATTTTAATTTTTTTTTTTTTGGTGGGGTGGGGGGTTCATGTTTAAATCCACTGTAGATTACATCAGCGTTTTTTAACCAAAAAAAAGTCAAAATTCCCTAAGCTAATGTTGGATAGGTCACTTTTGAATTTTTCTTATAACCACTTCATAATTATAAAATGTGGTTTAGGTAAAATTTGTATAAAAGAATCAACCATGTCATGTCAACTAAACTCTTTTAATCAACTTTATATACAATTTTAAAATAACAGTAATTATATAGGTATTTGAAATTTAGACTTATGAAATAAATACTCCAGTGTTGCATTATAATAAAAACAAAAATGAGTGGGTGCAACAACAGAATAGTGCTGCTTTCTAGAAAAAAAAATGATATTAAATAGGCCGGGTTTGCTTTAATATTAATTACACGATTTTGAACAACTTGGTACAGTTACTTCAATTTTTCATTTTTTGTGGTTTAGGCCACTTTTGCGCTCAGCGCCTCATTTGTACCATGACAAATTAGATATTTATCATCACAGTATTTTGATACACGTCCTCAGCTCTTTACTTCGCCTTTATCGTAGTTATCCACTTCTTATAGGCTGTCAATCATATACATACATATTATATAACATTGAACAAAATCAAGCAATGAGAAGTAGAGAACTACGATATAGGCCGGAGGTGAAGGAGATGCGTATCTACTGAGCAAAACTAGTATAACTGTGATGATACCTATCTAATTTGTCATGATTTGTACAGTGAAAAAATTAAAACAAGTCGAAACACGCAACCCACGTTGTAATGGAATTGCAATGTGCACATACAGTTTAGAACAACTATTACCCCCGTGACCCCGTTCATCCGTTATTTACCAGTAGGTACAATTAAGTACATAGTTACGATTGTTGATATTAAGATATTCATTTATTGTATATAAGTATTTAATATAATATGTAGATTCATACTAGCCTATTTACCTTATCGTAAAAATATTATTAAGAAAAGTGATATTTTATTTCGAGGTTTTAATTTTTACAAAAATATATGTAATAAAATATTTAAAATGATTAATATAATGTGCTTTAAATGTGTTTTTTTTTATCAATACAGAAAATTTACATAATATAATTTATAAATTGAGGGACGGAGTGGCCGAGTGGACTAAGGCGTCGGGCATGGCAGATACCTACGGGTGCCCACTAGAAATATTCGGATACTTATCAAAAAGTCTTAGTTATTAAATTAAATATATTTTATAATAAAAACATACTCATAAAACATAACACTTTCCTTCCAAGTAGTATCTCCGTAGTACTACCGTTTCACTGTTTTAAGGGGCCGGTGCCTGTTTTTCAACATTTTCAAAATTCTATAACATTTGAATATTATATTTTATATTTTAGTTGCCACCTTAAATATAATACTTTCCCAATAATATACTAATAGGTATTACACAACAATAAATAAACCCTCCAACGACGGGTAATTCAGCTAGTATAATATAATTCAATATTGAAAACAATTACTTCATAGGAATAATTCTTAGGCATTGTTGAAATGTCGGATCTTGATAACTATTTTTTTATCTGCGTACGAAGAAAACTTCCTATAGGCCCCGCATTTTACTTCGATTTTTATTTTATTTATAATAACGGTATAATAAAAAAAAGCTTAAACTGTATTATTTTTTTAGCATATTATAAAGTTATTTTCAAAAACGGATTTCAATGCGTCCTGAGAATATTACCCTCTAATAGCTTAAAAAAATAATATATCAAATTTGGATGGTTCTATATAACAGGATCATTATTCCCGTAGAGCGTACTTTTGTGGACAAAATTACATTGACACCAGGCACTTTAACGGTAAATCGGTCCAAATGGATTCCAATTTTAATTATAAATGTTAAATAGTATTTATCACGACCAGTTGAAAAAAAATATTTTATAGGTAGGTATATCGTATTCCTACTATTTAGTATATGCATAGTATTGCATACTTAATGTTTAAGTTACATGTATATTATATATTATAGTATAAAATGTCCACGTTTTACATTTTAAACAATTGACATCTACAGCTTACAATTTGTCAGTTATCACAGAGAACTGCAATCAATTTGCAACGAAAATACTAAAACAAATAAAATTATCATTGAAAAATGTATTCGTTTCTAAGAAATTAAATGAAATACGCAACTCAAATATTATTGACGCCAAGTCCGATAATACTTTTGGTATTCGTGGTTATCGGACACGACTCGAGATGTGTTGAGGCTGAAAGAAAGCTTACCCAATAAAAAAAAAAAAAATAAGTAAACTATAATTTTAGAAATATATGCTCAATATGCATTACTAAATGGTATTATAAACAATCAAACAAGTAATACTCTAATACAAGTGCATAAGTAAAATATATATATATATATATATATATAGGGCACCTCAAATAATAAATGAATAAATTATAACAATATCAATAATAGTATACACAATTAACAGAGCCGGATTGGTTAGGCGAGCTACCGAGAAAATCTCGGTGGGACGCTTAAAGTTTGGGGCCGGTCGTGCGAGTGTAAGTGAAAAAAATTCTTCTTTAAAATACGATTGGTCACTAATCAGCTCATAACAATTTTCGAAGTAATTTTGGGACAGTGAATATTTAAATGGACCGCGTAGAAGTGAAAATCTCTATGGGCCGATACATATACCTACCAATCCGGCCCTGAGTCAATTATTAGTCTTGGTAAGACCACAAATTAATTTCGACGGCTACTGGCTCGCTCTAATAAAAAATTACACAATAACGTAAAAACCAATGGAAACCTGATCGCCACGACCGCTCCACTCACATTTGTCGGAGGCCCCTTGCTTGAGAAGTATGGGAGTACTTATTATTAGTACATACGTGTTCACCGCTGGAACGGTGACAGCTAAGGTACTTAGCTTGGTACTTTAGGTAGGTAAACTCACTTGTAGACCTATAGACGACGAACTATGAACATGTGAACGGCTCGACCACGAGGTTTTCAGTAGTCGAACATACGAGGTACGACTTGGTTGCGACTTACCAATTTGCGCACAACCGGAGAGCCAATACAATCGAAAATGCTCAGCAACGATAATGGTGGAGCCGAAAACCCTAAAACAACCAACACCAACTACGACGACAACTCAATCGCGAGGTTTACGTCGGCCGAACATATTACAACAATAAGCGCAGAGGCGTCAGACATTCGCAAAAGGACGGCACGCAAGTCGCAAACACGACGACCGGCGGACAGGTACGAGCCAACTGCACGGAAAGGAACGACGGCTTAGCACAACAATTATTGACGCGTCGTCCGAATCCGTTGGTTCTGCCGGGACACAGCACACGGCGGCGGAAAACGGAAGCGACGTTGCGTCAATTTTTTTGTTGTCCAAAAAACAAACAAGTATTATGTACAGCAGTACGAGTACTCCCGGCGACCAAAAAAAGCAACATAATATTATAATTTTACAATGTAGGTCATCTGTGTAATTTAATACATCCATTAGACTGTTTTTTAAATAACTCCATCAGTTAATGGATTTTATATATACCAAAAGATTATGTTGTTAGAAATGTGTTTTATTTGATAAAATAAGTAAAATAATAATAACATTTTGTAGATTGTAGATAATATAAAGTTACCCCTAATAGCATATCATTTATTTGTCACATAATACGTATTATAAATATCTTTGCAAAATAAATGATGTTATAACTATTATAATATGGTATAGCGAGTCTATCCGGCCCGCCAAACTAATTAATGTTTTTAAAATAATATATTTATTATATTATTTTTATTTAATTTTTATTGTTTTTATATTATCGAATTAATTAATTATTTATTTTTCTCTTGGTGTTATGCGTAACAGCTTATATAAGTCACTTATACCTATCTCCTAAGTTCTTGTACTAACTATTATAATAAAAAACTAGTTATAAAATAAAAA